GTTCCAGTGAGTTCAGCTGACCAAGATTCACGCAAAATTCCGGACTCCTCTTCAACCCAAGAAGAATTATTTTGAAGAGCGACTTAGATCCAGACCACCGAAATAAGTTTTTTCTCGACTTTCGTCCAAAGACACACCGAAATGCCAATTTCTTAGAGAGCAAACAACTTGAAGCGTTAAAACTTGCCTAACGGAAAACGACGTGTCACAATCCACAGAACGGGTCGGGAGATAGATGCAGTCCTATGTATCGAACAACTAGACATAAAGTTTGTTACCTTTTTCTTTGACACTTTGAACTTTTTGAGTTTTCATTTTATTTTCTTTTATGCATATTTGTGTAGTATCACCCCCGTTGGACTCAGTTTGCATTACGGCCCCAACCACTGTTTGATCTCGTCTGCCTAAGATCAATTCACAACGTGGGTAGGCAGACTGGAGATCAATGCAGTTACCTTGGTAACCAGGCGTTGGAAGCGAATTGGGAACGACGAGGCTGATATCAAATCTAACCAGATTCCCACCCGAATCACCAAAAGTTCCGCAGATGATTAACAGAAAGCAGTTTTTTACGTTCAAATTAACAAGTCGTTGTTTGGTCCAGTTAACAGCAGATTTAAGGTCACATTTGGGTGCCGCGACAGATACCAAGCCAGTTGGTCGTCACAGGACGAGACAACACGACTGGCGCGACAGGCGGACGTCACGTTTGGAGCAGCGACTCCCGAACGGAGCAGCGAGGAGCGAACAGCTGGCGCTGCGGCGAGGACGTCACAATTGGTGCTGTTTTGGGACGTCACAACTGGCGCCGTGGTAGATCAGGATAGAACGTCACAGTCGGCGCTGCGACCGGGGGACGACGTCACAAATCGCATTACAGTTACTTTGGATTTTATGAAGAATATCTAAATATAAACAGGGAGAAAAAGACCGTATGCGGCAGCAATATTTAAAAATATGGACGAATAGTAGACTTATAAATATATAAGATAGAATCTGGAGAGAAAAATGGTCTAGCTCAACACAGTGAACCAACCTAAAAATTGAATCAATATAATCTGTCCACGTCATGTCAGCAGAGAACGTTAGCCCGATAAGGTGCAATCTGTCAGTTTCCTGAAGGCTAGCATTAGGTATGATGATGGAAGACAGAAAGCTGTTCCGCAGATGATGAACAGAAAGCAGTTTTTTACGTTCAAATTAACAAGTCGTTGTTTGGTCCAGTTAACAGCAGATTTAAGGTCACTTTTGAGATAAGCTGCCAAATTAACTTTATCGAACCGATTATCCTCTTAACTGGTTATCCTTATACGGTGGATTAACGCCGTACTATAATAAGTTTAGTCAATAATACGGTATTAGAATTGTAAAATATTATTACTAGATATTTTTCGGCCGGATATCTTCATATTAATTTGCTGTTCTGGTATTAAAAAAAAAAATCTTAGTAATTCATAGCTTTGTTTTCACCAAATCGATATTCGAGAAAAAATTTAAAAAAAAAGAAACAGATGTTTATAACCTTTCATAATATAAAATTAGTCGATACTTGAACACAAGGTCTACTTACCGATGACATACTATGTTTTAATGAATTCCGTAACACATTTTACCCCAGATAACCGAGAGGAGCTGGTTAGTCACTCTGTTACACAATGACCCTGCAATCACACACGGTCAGGGGAATGCTGCTGCTGCTGCTGTTATTGCCGTTGTTGTTGTTGATGATGATGATGATGATGATGATTACGATTCTGATGACGATGATGATGGAAATACAGGATTTCGAACAATTATTCTTTAACGAGACAGTTGTGGTGCAATAAATCTTTCTGGGCATATTCCACGTCCTGTAAGAAGAACAAATATGGATATATTTCTCTCCAAATAATCATACTGTATAATACGCTAAGGGGCTATTGTATGTAATGTCTATAACTCTTTGGTGAGACTTCTCTCTCTTTCATTTTCGATTTTATTAATAGATTTCTAACTTTTAAGTCAAGCATGTGAAAACGTTCTGATAATAATGTCTGGATTTCTGAATTATTCATAATCAAACTAATGTCGTAAACATTGTTGTTTGTCTTAACGACGTTTTCGTCGTCGTACTTTTCGGCACTTTCTAGGGGTTTCTCCATCCGGGTAGTCTTCAGTGAATTCTGAACTGAACTCTTTATTTATTTATACGGAAGTCGATTCTTTTTTCTTCGTTTTACATATCTAGGAACATCTTGTTGCGTCCTTAATCATTCATGTTCAATTATTGCTCGTCCTTTTGTCATTGGGTCTGAGTTTGTATTACCCTGTCCAGTGCTCGAACTCATAATCAATATGCTACCATATTTGTGAACCAATGCTTTAACCCACGGGGTGATGCTGTGTATTTGCTGGTCTTGGACGGGTATTGTGTATTAGAATGTTCTTCAAAATTAGACGTTGAATTCCGACAAGTACTTTTTCCAATTGGATTGATTAAAGACATTAATCGATTTCTCCAATTTTATTAATTAAAGGTACGCATCGATGTTTCTTATTGTACTGATTCAAGGCATAAATCGATGAAAAACCTCTAGAAGGGGGCCAGTGGGAAAAGTATCGTCTTTCACAGGATAACACTAGACCACACATCTCTTTTTATACCCGGCAGAAATTGTTACATCTTGATCGATGGGAGATTCCTTCCTAATCTTTTGTGTGAAGTATTGTGGAATGTCAACATCTTGATTATGTCATTATTTTTCTTTGAATTATATGTGCTATCTATTTTATTTGCTGCTGTTTTTGAAAGTCTTAAAGTGATTTTTTTTTTTATTTGGTGGAATTCTTTGTTTGTGATTTTATAGCTTCTCAACAAGAATGTTGTTGCCTATCGCATTGATGCCATGGTCATTCTTTGGAAAATCTGACACACTTTATGTTATTACGCTGAGGTGCAATGTCTACCAAAAACAACTTGATCACAGTTTCTGTATGATGAAAACATTGTTGCGTAAATAGTTAACCCAGTCAGTGTCTGTGCGTGTGCGTGCGTGTGTACCCGATTTATTTCATTTGATGTTATGCATTTCTAGAATTCATGTATACGTGTGACCAATTTAACGACAGAATATAGGAATGGCGTATTTTTCGTTGTTGATGGTCTGAGATATCTCTAGACAAAATTAATAGTAAGACTGAATAGCTTATCTTGATTAACTTAAATCAATCATTCTCATTTGGCAAGTTTTTAGTATGTGCTTGTGTCTAAGGTACTCATAGACAAACTGATATATAAGAATTTGTTTTTACATCTCACAGACGAATTTTGATTGCGCTGCATAGTTATATCAATTCATGAAGCTAATAATTAGTATTGCAATGGGTACCTCGCTTTAACCAATTTTCTTAACTTTTTTTTTTTTTTACTGAGACTTGTCATGTCACCTACAATATTCAAATATGTAGGTGCAACATCAATCGTCATCTTCTCTCTTTCTTAATCCTGTTCTTTTTGTTTCTTCTTTTCTTTCACTCTCAGTAACCCCTTGCATCTTAGTGACATTATTATCTTGCATGGGATGAAAAGAATAATAAAAATAAAGAAAAAAACTACTGAGCGGTTAGGCAATATCAGCCCTACTTTATGGAAATCTCCTTACACATGAAGAATAGACTTGAAGCAACAGGTATGTGGTTCTACAGAAGTATGCTATGAATATCATGGAATGAGCAACGACAAAGTTTTAGACAAAATGGAAACAAAATAGACACATATTTACATCTGTAAGAGACAGTTAAAATTTCGAAGCTACATAATGAGGAAAGAGAGATTGGAAAATTTGATACTCACAGGACATATTAAAGGTAAGAGAGACAAAGGAAGGCAGCACATGACCTACCTAATGAGTTTGTGTAAATGGTTGGCAGAACAGGATTTAAGAGAGACAGAAAAAAAGACAGAATTTACTAAGGATTACAAAGAAGTGAAAATTGTGAGGATCCCTGATCGCTAAAATCCTGAAGGGACATGGCCCATAGAAGAAGAAGAAGAAGAAGAAGAAGAAGAAGAAGAAGAAGAAGAAGAAGAAGAAGGAGTAGGAGGAGAAAAAGAAGAAGGGGGAGGAGGAGGAGAAGACGAAGAAGAAGAAGAAGAAGAAGAAGAAGAAGAAGAAGAAGAAGAAAAAGAAGATTTCGTGCTTGTCCATGCTTCTCTGTTAAATAGTGTCCCTCCACGCCACGCTACATATTGAAGGGCGGTTGTGCGTTTTTGACCAAAACATGACCCCGAAACATCGTAAACACATATTTGGTTGAAATAAACTTTCTTAGAGCATCAGTGAGTACATACAGATTTTCATATATTCGAAAATCAACTGAATTATCCCAAAATTTTCTTTATTAGTGTCGGGTGCCATATTGTGAACTAATGGTGAACGAGAGTACACTTGCGGACTAATATTACTGAGTTCGATCCTCACTGGGCACCACATACTAAATTTGACTATAAATAAATTGGCAAAGGTTTACATGACGTAAAATCAACATACCTAGCTTAATATCTTTATCATAAATGGCCGCCAAAATTTGGAGAACATTATACCGATACTAGACGAATACAGCTTTTCTGGGAGGTATACGTTGCGGGTATTTCTGGGAGGTATATGTTGCAGCTATTCCTCTGAGGTATATGTTGGAGGTATTTCTGATGCAACCTGTATATGACGGTGCGTTTTATACGCCAGAAAAAAAAGCTCGTGTATGTGTGTGTGTTTATATAGTTTTATATTCTTTTTGTTAAGCATTCTTTTTAGCTTATGAAGAAATAAATAATTTTATTCTAAGAAATGTTTGCAATGCAAGCCATATTATAATTGTCCAGAGTGTGATTTTCATGAAAAAAACTCTCGTAAGAAATCGTAAATCTCGCGGGCATTTTGAAAGAAACCTAGAAGTCTCGGAAAAAATAAAGCAGTAGCTATGGTAGAATTAATGTAATAACGATTTTACAAAAGAATTCTTTAAAAACTGCTAAAAAAAGACCAAGGAATGAATGAATAAAAGGAAAACGCATTAGATAAAACTACATGAAAAACTATGAATATCACAAAAACATACAGGCAGAGAGAAAAAGAAAGCGAGAGAAAGAAGGAAAAGAAAGGACGTGAAAGGAAAATCAAGAAATGGAGACATAAATGAATAAAGTGAGAGATTGTATGAGATATAGTGAGCGAAAAGATAAATAGAAAATCCAGAGAAACAAAAGGATATGTAATCAAAGACAGAAATATATTTAAAAAAAAAAAAGATTTAATGCGGTAAAGAGAGAAACAGAATAAAAGAGAAAAAAAGAAAGAAAAAAAAAAAAAAATCATGGATAGAAAGTGGTAAATAAAAAATAAAGAATAGAGACAAGGAAAATGAAATAAAATAAAAAAGAGAGAAAATAACATATTGTAGAAGGGGAAACTGAAAGAAAGAAACAAAGAGAAAACTATAAATATAGATAAAGAGAGAGAGAGGGGATGTGGAGAGATAGAGGAAAGAAAAAACTCTGTAAGAAAAAAGAATAAAAGGAAGATGAAGATGAATAGAGATAGAAAACGAAATGTCGGAAAAAGAAATAGAAAAAAAAGGAAGCGAAAAAAAGAGAGAAAGTTAAAAAAAAAAAAATAAAAATAAAAAAATTCTAAAAGAAGAGAAAAATAAATGTGAACGAAAAGAGAAAGAAAGAGACCATAAAAATGGGAGGAACAAACGCAAGAATAAAATATGTGAAGGAAAGAAAAAATGAAATCCTTGTGAACGAATTTGTCGGCATAATTGTCGGCTGCTTGTAACAGCAATCAATTTTTGAACGTCGGCACGAGACGTCGAAGATAATTTTCGCTCATTGAACGTGACACAATTTAAAAAGTAAAATTTTGGTGAGCAATTATTCAGTGAAAATTATCTTAGCGAGAAAATAAAGACAGATTACAGTATCTGCCTATTTTCAATGGCCATCACCATCTGTAAAAGAAAAAAAAAACAAGAAACAAACAAGCAGTGAAATGACAAAAATAACAGTAGGGAGGATAGAGTATCGGTCTGGTGTCCAAGAAGGTCATGAGGTTAGATCCCTAATTAAGAGGCTTGGTGATATTTAAATCGGACAAAGGTATCAGTACACAACAAAAGATATTTTTATTGTTAGCCAGTATTTTAAAAGTTCTCTAAGAACTGATGCATTGTTTAGCGAGATTCGAAGTAAAGAAAGAAAGAAAGAAAGAAAGAAAGAAAGAAAAGAAAGAAAGAAAGAAAGAAAGAAAAAAAAAGAAAGAAGAAAGAAAAAAGGAAATAATTTTATGAGTAAAGAACGAAGTGTAATGGTATGGAAATAGAAAGAAAGAAAGAAAGAAAGAAAGAAAGAAAGAACGGCTTCATAAAGCTAAAGAAGGAACAGGAGATTTACGAAAATTGATAAAAAGGATAAAAGAAAGATGGGCATATGTAACAAAAAGAACAAAGTGTAGGGGTGTATAATAGAAAGAAAGAAATAAAGAAAGAAATAAAAAAAAGAAAGAAAGAAAAGAAAGAAAGAGGAAAAAACGAGGTTTATATGAAGAACCTGAAATGTATGGAAATGGTCAGGAGGAAAGAAAGAAAAAAAATTTTTGAGTGTCACCAATAGAACCGATGCATTTTTTATCGATATTCAAAGAAAAAAGTGTAAAGAATGAAAAAGGTAAGAAGAAAGAAGGAAAGAAAGAAAAAAAAGAAAGAAAAAAGAATGTGTGTGCGTAAATGAATGGCAGCACATATACTAGGAGGAACCGTAAGGAGAAAAACATTGCTTAGAGTTACGAAGGAGAGTAAGTTGTGGAACGCCCTGATTGGTCACGTCCTGAAGGTACATAAAAGAGTTTATTAACATTCTGTGAAAAGAAAGCATTTGTAGGACTTGTTTGGGATTTGGATTGATTTGGAGTGAATTATATAGCAATCCTGAAGAAGATGTGATCAGTCTAGCTAAACTGAACGAGCGAGTATTCCGCAGAACAAGTTTAATGTAACGGCTATTATTTATATTCTAATTATTTGATTTCTGTATTTTTGTGATTACGTTTATTGTGGTGTAGCGGAAAAGGCACATTGTAGCACATTTTCTGTTCGTGACATTTAAACAAGTTAGGTTCATTTTGTGGTCTAACACATTGAGAAGAGTCAATAACATCCAACATTTGGCTGAACCTCACATCTCTTCATTGTATAATTATTATTAACAAAATGTTGATTAATTCTTCAACCCTCATCAGATGTAATCCATGAGCAGAAGGAATCCTCTTATTCCAGAAAACTACCTACGATAACGAAAAAAATCTGCACGCCATTAATATTAATATTAATACCCGGCATTCATTTTTGTGATGGTGGATAGTAATAGGTTAACGAAAGACAAACTTAATATAGCATTAATATAGGATTTTGTAAAACTATGATTAACGCCGGATTGTTTTAGAAAGTGCTAATTATGAGAATAGGTTGAAATGTTCATAGGTTGAGTATGAATGTGTGATGCTAGAGCTGCGAAATTCGCCAATTGCAACTCTTCTTATTCATAACTGCATTGTTTATTTCCAGGTAAACTCACATCTAACTGTTCAGAGAAGACTGTTCATTCCGTTGATAGAAAAAGTCATCAAATGCAGATATGACGCCATCATCAGTACGTTACAGATACCTAGCCAAATGTTTTTTCCGTTGGTAGAAAAAGTCATCAAAAGCAGATATGACACCATCATCAGTACGTTAAAGATTCCTTGATAAATATTTTTTCCGTTGGTAGAAAAAGTCATCAAAAGTAGATATGACGCCATCATCAGTACGTTACAGATTCCTAGTTAAATGTTCTTTCCGTTAGTAGAAAAAGTCATCAAAAGCAGATATGACGCCATCATCAGTACGTTAAAGATTCCTTGATAAATATTTTTTCCGTTGGTAGAAAAAGTCATCAAAAGTAGATATGACGCCATCATCAGTACGTTACAGATTCCTAGCCAAATGTTTTTTTTTCCTTTGGTAGAAAAAGTCATCAAAAGCAGATATGACGCCATCATCAGTACGTTACAGATTCCTAGCTAAATGTTTTTTCCTTTGATAGGAAAAGTCATCAAAAGCAGATATGACGCCATCATCAGTACGTTACAGATTCCTAGCCAAAAGTTTTTTCCGTTGGTAGAAAAAGTCATCAAATATAGATATGACGCCATCATCAGTACGTTACAGATTCCTAGCCAAATGTTTTTTTTTCCTTTGGTAGAAAAAGTCATCAAAAGCAGATATGACGCCATCATCAGTACGTTACAGATTCCTAGCCAAATGTTTTTTTCCGATGGTAGAAAAAGTCATCAAAAGCAGATATGACGCCATCATCAGTACGTTACAGATTCCTAGCTAAATGTTTTTTTTCCGATGGTAGAAAAAGTCATCAAAAGCAGATATGACGCCATCATCAGTACGTTACAGATTCCTAGCTAAATATTTTTTCCGTTGGTAGAAAAAGTCATCAAAAGTTGATATGACGCCATCATCAGCACGTTACAGATTCCTAGCCAAATGATCTTTCCGTTGGTAGAAAAAGTCATCAAATGCAGATATGACGCCATCATCAGTACGTTAAAGATTCCTTGATAAATATTTTTCCGTTGGTAGAAAAAGTCATCAAAAGTAGATATGACGCCATCATCAGTACGTTACAGATTCCTAGCCAAATGTTTTTCCGTTGGTAGAAAAAGTCATCAAAAGCAGATATGACGCCATCATCAGTACGTTAAAGATAAATATTTTTTCCTTTGGTAGAAAAGTCATCAAAAGCAGATATGACGCTATCATCAGTACGTTACAGATTCCTAGCCAAATGTTTTTTCCGTTAGTAGAAAAAGTCATCAAAAGTAGATATGACGCCATCATCAGTACGTTACAGATTCCTAGCCAAATGTTCTTTCCGTTGGTAGAAAAAGTCATCAAAAGCAGATATGACGCCATCATCAGTACGTTACAGATTCCCAGCCAAATGTTTTTTCCGTTGGTAGAAAAAGTCATCAAAAGCAGATATGACGCCATCATCAGTACGTTACAGATTCCTAGGCAAATGTTTTTTCCGTTTGTAGAAAAAGTCATCAAATGCAGATATGACGCCATCATCAGTACGTTACAGATTTCTAGCCAAATGTTTTTTCCGTTGGTAGAAAAAGTCATCAAATGCAGATATGACGCCATCATCAGTACGTTACAGATTCCTAGCCAAATTTTTTTTTTCCGTTGGTAGAAAAAGTCATCAAATGCAGATATGACGCCATCATCAGTACGTTACAGATTCCTAGCCAAATGTTTTTTCCGTTGGTAGAAAAAAGTCATCAAATGCAGATATGACGCCATCATCAGTACGTTACAGATTCCTAGCCAAATTTTTTTTTCCGTTGGTAGAAAAAGTCATCAAATGCAGATATGACGCCATCATCAGTACGTTACAGATTCCTAGCCAAATGTTTTTTCCTTTGATAGAGAACGTCACCAAAAGCAGATATGACGCCATCATCAGTACGTTACAGATTCGTAGCCAAATGTTTTTTCCGTTGGTAGAAAAAAGTCATCAAATGCAGATATGACGCCATCATCAGTACGTTACAGATTCCTAGCCAAATGTTTTTCTAAAAAAAAGTCATCAAAAGCAGATATGACGCCATCATCAGTACGTTACAGATTCCTAGCCAAATGTTTTTTCCGTTGGTAGAAAAAGTCATCAAAAGCAGATCTGACGCCATCATCATTACGTTAAAGATTCCTTGATAAATAATTTTTTTCCGTTGGTAGAAAAAAGTCATCAAAAGTAGATATGACGCCATCATCAGTACGTTACAGATTCCTAGCCAAAAGAAAAAAGTCATCAAAAGCAGATATGACGCCATCATCAGTACGTTACAGATTCCTAGCTAAATGTTTTTCCTTTGATAGGAAAAGTCATCAAAAGCAGATATGACGCCATCATCAGTACGTTACAGATTCCTAGCCAAAAGTTTTTTCCGTTGGTAGAAAATTTCATCAAATGCAGATATGACGCCATCATCAGTACGTTACAGATTCATAGCCAAATGTTTTTCCGTTGGTAAAAAAAGTCATCAAATGCAGATATGACGCCATCATCAGTACGTTACAGATTCCTAGCCAAATGTTTTTTTCCGATGGTAGAAAAAGTCATCAAAAGCAGATATGACGCCATCATCAGTACGTTACAGATTCCTAGCTAAATGATTTTTTTTTTCCGAGAAAAAGTCATCAAAAGCAGATATGACGCCATCATCAGTACGTTACAGATTCGTAGCCAAATGACGCCATTTTTTTTCCGTTGGTAGAAAAGTCATCAAATGCAGATATGACGCCATCATCAGTACGTTACAGATTCCTAGCCAAATGTTTTTCTGTTGGTAGAAAAAGTCATCAAAAAGCAGATATGACGCCATCATCAGTACGTTACAGATTCCTAGCCAAATGTTTTTTCCGTTGGTAGAAAAAGTCATCAAAAGCAGATCTGACGCCATCATCATTACGTTAAAGATTCCTTGATAAATATTTTTCCGTTGGTACAAAAAGTCATCAAAAAGTAGATATGACGCCATCATCAGTACGTTACAGATTCCTAGCCAAATGTTCTTTCCGTTGGTAGAAAAAGTCATCAAAAGCAGATATGACGCCATCATCAGTACGTTACAGATTCCCAGCCAAATGTTTTTTCCGTTGGTAGAAAAAAGTCATCAAAAGCAGATATGACGCCATCATCAGTACGTTACAGATTCGTAGCCAAATGTTTTTTCCGTTTGTAGAAAAAGTCATCAAATGCAGATATGACGCCATCATCAGTACGTTACAGATTTCTAGCCAAATGTTTTTTCCGTTGGTAGAAAAAGTCATCAAATGCAGATATGACGCCATCATCAGTACGTTACAGATTCCTAGCCAAATTTTTTTTCCGTTGGTAGAAAAAGTCATCAAATGCAGATATGACGCCATCATCAGTACGTTACAGATTCCTAGCCAAATGTTTTTTCCGTTGGTAGAAAAAGTCATCAAATGCAGATATGACGCCATCATCAGTACGTTACAGATTCCTAGCCAAATGTTTTTTCCGTTGGTAGAAAAGTCATCAAATGCAGATATGACGCCATCATCAGTACGTTACAGATTCCTAGCCAAATGTTTTTCTTTGATAGAGAACGTCACCAAAAGCAGATATGACGCCATCATCAGTACGTTACAGATTCGTAGCCAAATGTTTTTTCCGTTGGTAGAAAAGTCATCAAATGCAGATATGACGCCATCATCAGTACGTTACAGATTCCTAGCCAAATGTTTTTTTTTGTTGGTAGAAAAAAGTCATCAAAAGCAGATATGACGCCATCATCAGTACGTTACAGATTCCTAGCCAAATGTTTTTTCCGTTGGTAGAAAAAGTCATCAAAAGCAGATCTGACGCCATCATCATTACGTTAAAGATTCCTTGATAAATATTTTTTCCGTTGGTAGAAAAAAGTCATGTTTTTGTTGGTGAAAAAGTCAAAGATATGACGCCATCATCAGTACGTTACAGATTCTAGCCAAATGTTTTTTTTTTCCTTTGGTAAAAAAGTCATCAAAAGCAGATATGACGCCATCATCAGTACGTTACAGATTCCTGTTGATAAATGTTTTTTTCCTTTGATAGGAAAAAGTCATCAAAAGCAGATATGACGCCATCATCAGTACGTTACAGATTCCTAGCCAAAAGTTTTTTCCGTTGGTAGAAAATTTCATCAAA